GGGGGGCTGGGCGACCTCTGGAAGGGGCGGCGCGGGCAGGGTTACCCCTTCAATGGCATGCCATGGTGAAGTGGTTGGAAGACGACAGTTCCCCCGTGAGGAGGACCTGAGTGTGTGTGTGTGTGTGTGTGTGTGTATGCAGTTGTCTCTGAGCCAATGTGTGTCCAAAACACAAGCAAAGTGTGCAGGCTGAGAATTTGGAACCTGAGAACCCTTCCCTAAGCCAGTTCTTAAAAAAAAAAAGAATTAAATGAATGAATGTATGAATAAATAAATAAATAAAACCTCTTCCAAAGCTCCAAAACTCAACCAACCTAAGGCAATGGTAACATGATCTTGATCCAAATTCAGAATTAGAATTAGCCGATTAACGGATCCTTTATTTGGCAACACTGATTCCAGTGGTTAAAGAAATACATCAAAGGTTCTTATAAATCTTTGGGCTAGGTTGCTAGATTTAAAAAAAAAAGGCATGCTTTCAATTTGTTTGTTTGTTTGTTTTCAAAAAAGTTTCCAAAGAGAAAAGTCCATAACTCTGAATAAAGATACTCTGTGTAAGGGCTTGTGTGGTAAGCCCAGGCCCAGGCCCTAGCCAGAAGTTTAGCTGGGGCAGAAGGTCCTGAACTTTGTTTCTCCTCTAGAAAGGTTATTTCCCAATGGATAGAATTCAAGGCTTGGCGAACTTAATGCTAGGGAAAATTAGTCTCACTAACTCACTCTAGGTGCAATTTAGTGTTTCAGAATGTTCCACATACTAGTGACTGTCACAAATAGACACAATCCACAGGTATTTTCCCATCACAGCAAAGTGAGTTCAGATTTCTCAAAATATAACTTTTGCTCATCTGTACTTTGAAATGAGAGTAGCAGTTACATTGCACTAGCTAAGGAATTACTAAAAAAAGATATACATTACATGTGCCCATGCTATCAAGTTGTTTTAAAAAGTATTTTTCATAAACTATCCTTTGATATGATTGGTTTTCTTTGTAATCCTGCATAGTTTAGTTTAGGGGGTTCTACCAGATTGAGGAATGGAAGTTTGAGAAATCCTTTTGAGTGAATAACAGAAACTCCTCCCCCCTTCAAACCCACTGTTCTCCAGAAAGTTCTCGAAACCATTTATGCTACATTTTGAAGGACAAGTTACAAATTTGTGAAAGCTCTGTTCCTTTTCTTTACTTGGTAACTTTGGGCTCCATGAGCCAAAATAGTTACTTTTCTTGGAGCCCTCACAATGTAATAATTGAAAAATTGCTGGAAAAAGCTTCTGTCCATGTGTAAAATATAACCCATTTGAATTTTTTTTTAAGAATCTCAAACTGTCAAATTAGAGGTCATCCTATCCAGAACTTCTGAACCTCAAACTTATAGCTTTGGGGAACCACAGAGAAGCATTTTATTTATTTTGAAAATCAGCTTGCTTTGCCTCTGACTTCCCATTAGACTATCGCTATGAATTCATTCTGTGAACCGATTAAAAAAAAATTGCTCAAGTCATAGTAAACACTTGAATCTCTCCTTATAAACGATCCAGACCATCTTTTACAGTCCCCTCCCTCTCCCACACCTCCCTTTTCCCTATGTGCCCCTCATTTCCCCTCTGCCCCCCTCTCTCCTTCTCCCCCAGAATGCCTCTGACCTGCCCTGGTTGGGGGTAACCTCTGCTCAGGGGGTAGTTTTGTCTCTGCTGGGGCGGTACACAATCCAGGCCTGTGAAAAGGAGGGATGAGTCTGCAGGAGGCCAGCACAAGCTGGGCTATTGGGATCTGTGTCCATTAAAGCCTCCTCACCCTCCTTAACTCATTCTTAACTCCATTCAAGGCAGTCTGAGGGTCAGGCTTTAGCTGCCACTAAAACCTGTAGGGTTCAGATTCTCTGACATTGTTGCGAAAGAATTAAGGCATCAGCCAGGGACGGCTAATATTTCTTGCCTCGTTTTATTGCCGAACAGCGGGACTGTAAAGTTTTGAACACTAGAGCACTGTGGCCCCCTTTCATGTGGCCGAGATGATGGGATAAAAATGTGTTTGCTGAAGCAATTCAGATTACCACTGGGTCACATCCTCCCAGGCTCCGGTACACAGCCCTGGAGATGGCACAGCTAAGAAGCAATGCAATCTCTGCATAAACACGGCTCAGGCCCAACAGCATCTCTAGTGTGGAATTGAGGCTCGTTGTGGAGCTGGCCGATGAACATGGTTTGTTTTTAATAGCCCAGGATGCACGTCAAAATGAGCGTGGAGATGATGACTGTGGATGTAACTCCTCCAGATCCACGATTTCTACCAGCTTTTTACAAGACATTCCCAGTCCCAGGAGCAATGAACTGCTATGATCAGAGGTGCTGAGGTTTTCAGCTTGCAGATTAGGGTTAGGCAGTGTTCTCCCCAGTGAAGGGAGGGGAGGGGAGGGCCCTCAGCCCGCCATGAGAGTGGCAGGGGAGGAAGGGCAGTGGGTGGAAGTATTGGATGCCTAAGTAAAGGAGAAAGCAATTGGGAAGCTCCGAAAAGCAAGCTCCTTTGGTCTCACCAAAAACCTTTTCCTTGCAGGATGCCATGGCTCATGTAGCTATTCAGGAGGCTAAGAGCTGAACATCTTAGTTTGAAGCCAGCTCAGGCAGGAAAGTCTGTGAGACTCCCAATTAACCAGCAAAAAGCCAGAAGTGCATGCATCACTCAAGTGGTAGAGTGCCACTCTTGAGTGGAAAAGCTACTGGGTGCTGGTGGCTCACACCTATAATCCTAGCTACTCAGGAGACAGAGATCTGAAGGTTGTGTCTCAAAGCCAGCCAGAGCAGGAAAGTCCTGAGACTCTTATCTCTAATTAATCACAGAAGCCAGAAACAGAGTTGTGACTCAAGTGGTTGAGGGCCAGCCTTGAGTAGAGAAACTCAAGGACAGCACCCAGGCCCAGAGTTCAAGGCTCAGATTCAGCGCCCCCCCAAAAAAAATTTAAGGAAGAGTATCTAGACCTGTGTACCCATGTTCAAGTCCCAGTACACACACACACACACTCACACACACACACACACACACACACACACACACACACACACAAACAGAGTTCCTTTTTCTAATGACATGAACCCATGTAGTTATTTCATGGTATTGTCCAGTTAATTTGTGGCTGAGCTTGTTCTTGTTCTAATCAACTCTGTAACCCTGGGGTGGTTTCTTGGATTCCCAGAATCCTGGAAGATTGATTGAAACCCAGGCTCTGTTTTGAAGCTCTACATTGGTTTTATGGCCTTGGATCAACCTATTTCTTGGAAGCTGAAGTTTGGATATGACCCTGTGAACCGGTGGGCCTAAGTTCCTGTTGCCATTTTCACTACTACCTAGCTGTGTGACCATCAGCAAATGACTTGCTTTCTCTGGGCTTCCATTTCTTCAACTTGAAACTGGGGACAAGAGCAGGCTGCTGTGTGGATTTGTGGTGAAGTGTTCATGGGAGATGGTACAAAATGGTGCCCATCACATTGTGAGAGCCTATTTCAAGTTTACCCAGACTCTGGGGGAGATTTGGTAAGTTCTTCAGCCTGGCTGTTCCTTGATCAGCAGAGGAAATACATTGACTTATTCCACAGTGCCAAGATATGGAAAGTAAAGAGAGAGGGTCTTGTGTCCTGAGAGGGTCTTGTGTCCCTGATGAGGAAGCTTCAGCTCTCCACAGAGCTGTTGTGATCAGTGTGTCTGTCTGTCTGTGGGAGGCTGATTCACAGCTCTTCATCTCCATTTTCAAAGCCCTTGTTCCTTCAGGACAAAAGAAATGCCAGCAAGTCCCTGTTTCTGTTGGAGCTGGAGCTGTGGGGCGCTAGAGACAAGGATCCTGGGCCTCTCCAAGATGCCGGGGCCAGAATGTAATAAATCTGTGAAATAACAAGCACAAAGGACTTCATAATCAATGACAGATTTATTTTATTTATTTATTTATTTTATGCTGGCAACATCCATCGGTAGAGTTCACATTTTATAGAGAAATAACTCCCCCCCCCCGCCCGTTTATGATTTCTCCTCTTCAGTCCCATAGACTCTCTTTCTGAAAGTTTGGGAAAACTCAGAGAATCCACGTTGGCTCCTCTGAGAACTGTGGCCAGCAAAAGCATGACTTCCCCTTGGGCGGGAACCCAACTCTTTCGGGGTACTTCCTAGGGTGCTGAGGGCCATTCATTTCTGTTTTGCTAAAATACCCGTGACATGTGAATAAACCAGGATTACAGAACATTGTCTCGGGCAGTAATCTGAGCCGGCATGGGCTCTGGTTTGATGAAATATAGTGTTCTCTGAGCAAACATGGGAATTGCTATTACTTCTCGTTAAAGCTGAACAGTGGGACTATTTAGAACTGGGTGCATGAATGCGGCACTGTAGGGAGTGACAATTTGAAGGGAGCCGATTTGAAGGAGGGAGGGGATGG